ACAAGCCTCTTCTGTGTCAGGGTTTTTCTGATCACTGTTAGGAATGCCACCATGACTAACATGCAGTCACTATTCCCACCCAGCTTACTGTCTCGAAGGTTAGAGAGACACAGTAACTGAAATTTTAGTTGAAATACAGGTAGGAAGAAGAGAAATAAGGACGGGGTGTGTGAGATCAGTGGGGATGAACCTTAGGTTAGGGATGTCCAGACCGGCAGAGCTCCCTGGAGGAAGGGAGGTCTAAATTAAGTTTCAAGGAATGAGTAGGAATTTGGTCACTGAGAGTGGGCGGGACACTGGAGGAGAAGGCGGTGTTCCAGGTGGTGGGGGCAGCAGAAGCAAAGACACACAGTTGTGACACAGCAGGGTGCACTTGGAGAAGATACGAAAGGGTATAGAAAAAATGAAAAATATACTAGCTGTGCACACCAGTGAAATACATGTAATGCCCTCAATAAAATTCAGATGTTTTAAAATGAAGAAATAACAGCTCTGATAACATCAAATTATCACTATATTTAAAAGGCTGGTTCTTAATTTAGGTATACTGATACAAAGAACCTATTTGGGAAACAAAAATAAGACTTTGCTCGCTTCTCCTGATACAACGTGAAATGCTCCGGCCACTCCTCCCCTTGGAGACCCTCTCTGTCTTACACTGTCTCTGTCACTGGCTCACAAGGGCTTCCCAGTGTGTTTGACTGGGTCAACAGTTTCTGCTGGGAAAGGAGGGGAAAGCCCAAACCTTCATGGTTCATTAGCAGGAACATGCCCCCCGACCGAGGATTTCACTTGACATTTTCCAGGAAGGATTTACATGGTTAGTTCATGCAAAGACATATGAAGCTGTTTTTCCCTACCAAAGAAGTTGGTCAAGGGAGTTGAATATTTATTTCAAAAGCAGCATATCCACACCATGCTGGAAAAAGAGGTGAACAGGGGCCCTGCTAGTTATGTAACGTAGTAGAGAAGAGGGAAGAGAAAAGGAATGTTTTCTGCTAGTAATCGCTGCCCAACTATTCCCCTCACAGCCATCATCAAAGGTTGAATTGACCCAAAGGACATCCTGGCATTCACCCAGGGTGCCAGGGGGGAGCCTGCCCTTTCCAACAGAAGCTTGGTATTCGGCTTCCAAGAGAAGACAGATTGATACTGCTTGCAGTAAAGAGGGCCAGCCAAGGCCCCAGCTTCGGGCCTTGGCTCCCAGAACCCCCTCAGAGGGCCTGTGCAAGCCGGTGTCAGAGCGGCCTGTGGAGGTCAAACCAGGATGGCCATTTAACCAGCACAGTGGGCAACGTTTTCCCAGGCAGTGAGGCCAGTGATGGGGTATATGGTGGTCAGGATAGGGAGCTAGACAGTGAGGGCAGGGCTGGCTTGGTTCGGTTAGCTGAGGCTGGAGGCAACTCTAGAAACAGGAGAAAGGGCAGGAAGCCCAGAGGCTGTTGAGATTAGAGTCTCTGAGCAGATTGGGGCAAACAGCAAAGGACTGTGGATACTGGCAGTGGGCAAGTGAGCAGGTCAGTCCTTCACAGCTACATGGTTCGGGAGCAGGCAACCTAACTAAAAGGATCTCACCCTCGGAGACCCTGGTTTACACCTCTCTGGCCAGTAGTCCAGTGGCAGAGAGTTACTCCCAGACATTATGAACATCTGCAGGCCAAGGCCCAGGAGGGCAGTGGGTCTGTATGAACCAGAGGGCCTTGGCCTTCCCTCCCTTCTGGGCCAAGGTGCAGGCCTGGACCCAAGCCTTATCCATTGAGTCTCTAATCCCAGTGGTATCACATGGGCACCCCAATACCATGCAACCCTGCTATGCTGCCCTCAAATTTTCCCTCAAATCAATCCTTCATTTTTATGCTACACAGACCTCCCTGTACCATCTCTGACCTTCCCCAAGGGAATAGGTGGCACCACAGGAGGCCATGCTTTGTGGACCCTGTGCTTCACTCACCTACACGCTTTTCCTTCCAGGGACACAGCTTGCAGCTGCATCCATTGTGGGGCCACAGAGTGGGAGCACTGTGGGCAGCTGCCGCCTTCCTTCGGCCTGCAGCATCAGTCCACTTTGAAACACTGGTAATGAAAACGCTCAGAGATGATGGAGTACTGCTGCAAAATAAAAGAAGTGAAGGGTATACAAAGTGAAATAAAGAAAAATATACAGGGAACCAACAGTGAAGGGAGGGAGGCCAAAACTGAAATCAATGTCTTGGAGCAGAAGGAAGAAATAGAGTCAACCAGAATAAAATGAAGAAAGAAGAATTCAAAAAAATTAGGAGAGACTTAGGAACCTCTAAGACAATTTTAAATGTGCCAACATCCAAATCATAGGAGTGCCAGGAGGAGAAGAGGAAGAGAGAGAAATTGAAAATTTACTGGAAAAAATAGTAAAAGAAAACTTCCACAATCTAGTGAAGGAAATAGACATACGAGTCTAGGAAGCTCTGAGAGTTCCAAACAACATGGACCCAAAAAAGTTCACACCAAGACTCATCATATTTACAATGCCAAAGGTTAAAGATAAAGACAGAATCTTAAAAGCAGCAAGAGAAAAGGAGACAGTCACCTACAAAGGAGTTCCCATCAGACTGTCAGCAGATTTCTCAAAAGAGACCTTACAAGCAAGAAGGGGCTGGGAAGAAGTATTCAAAGTTATGAAATCCAAAGACCTACAACCAAGATTACTCTATCCAGCAAAGCGTTCATTTAGAATGGAAGGGCAGATAAAGCACTTCTCAGGTAAGGTCAATGTCAAGGAGTTCATCATCACCAAGCCATTACCATATGAAATGTTAAAGGGACTTATCTAAGAAAAAGAAGATAAAAAACTATTAACAGTAAAATGACAACAACTCACAGCTATCAACAACTGAACCTAAAAAAAATGAACTAAGTAAACTAAAACAGGAACAGGTTCACAGAAATAGAGATCATATGGAGGGTTATCGGCAGATTGGGAACGTGGAGAATGGGGGAAAGGTACAGGGAATAGAAGCATAATTGGTAGGTACAAAATAGGGGAAGTATAAGAATAGTATAGGAAGTGGAGGAGCCATAGTGCTTATATGTATGACCCATGGATATGACTAACGTGGGGGAGTAGAATGCTGGAGGGAATGTATATACTGGGCATAGGGGGATACAAGAGAGAAAAAAAACGAGCAACTGTTGTAACATGATCAAGAAAATATAATTTAAGCCCTGGCTGGTGTGGTTCAGTGTATTGAGTGCCAGGGGCACAATTTTCATTCCCACTCAGGGTACCTTCCTGAGGCCAGGTCCCCAGTGCGAGGTGTGTGAGAGGCAACCACACATTGATGTTTCTCTCTTTCTATTTCTCCCTCCCTTTCCTTCTCTGTAAAAATAAGTGAATAAATTAAATCTAAAAAGCAAAGACTTCCCACCCTAAAATGTACGTTAAAAAATATATACTTAAAGAAATAAACGTTGTTAGGAAAAAAAGTGTTTTCACAGCAAAGGAAACCATCAACAAAATGAAAAGAAACCCACTGAATGAGAGAGCATATTCACCAATGATACATCTGACAAGTAGTTAATATCCAAAATTTATAAAGAAGCCATACAAGTCAACGCCAAAAATATACAATTAAAAAATGGGCAAAGAACCTGAATATACATTTCTCCAAAGACATACAGATGGCTAGTAGACACATGAGAAGATGCTCAACATTACTAATCATCAGAGAAATGCAAATTAACCATGAGTTATCACTTCGCACCTGTAGAATGGCCATCATCAGTTAATGCACAATTGTTGGTGAGGATGTGGAGAAAAGAGAATCCTCGTGCACTATTGGTGGGATTGTAAATTGGTGCAGCCACTGTGGAAAACGGTATGGAGGTTCCTCAAAAATTTTTAAATAGAACTACCTTACAACCCAGCAATTCTACTTCTGGGTATTTATCCAAAGGTATCCAACACACTAATTTGAAAAGATAATATGCAGCCCATTGCATCATTATTCATGTAGCCATGAAATGGAAGCAACCTAAGTGTCCATCCATAGACGAATGGACACAGGAGAGGTGTGGCACAAGTATAATGGGATATTACTCAGTCACAAAAAGGAATGAAATCTTGCCACTTGAGACAATATAGAGGGACCTAGCGGGTATTATTCTCAGTGAAATGAGACAAAGACAAATACTCCATGAATTCACTTCTGTGGGATCTACAAAACAAAATAAAACAAACAAAAGAGAAACTCAGATGCAGAGAACAATTTAATGGTTGCCAGGGTTGCTGGATGGGAGAGGATCTGGGCGATGGGTGAAAAGGTTGTAGAGACTCAGAAGTAGAAATTGCCAGTTATAATTACAACGTGGGTAGGGGGTAAAAATAGTATACAAAAAAAAGCGAGTAGTATTTTAATAACTTCATGTGGTATCAGGTGGGTAAGAGACTTTTCAGGGTGATCACTTACTTCAAAAGTTATATGAACATCTAATCAGTATGTCGTACTCCTCAAACTAATGTTTTATGTCAACTGTAATTGGAAAAAAAAAAAAAAGACGTCCTAGTTCCTGTACAACCCATGCACAACCCAGTAGAGGTGCGTACCGTCAATCGCGAGGTAAAATAACAGGTTTGTACATATTAAGGCCCGACTATGGCGGGGACCGGTACACAGGATTCTCAGTTTTCGGATACAGCACTCAGGCCCTGCGGCGTTTAGTGACTACCCGACACTTTGCCCACGTCCAGGAACTGCAGAGGGCTTGGTACCTCTAGCGCTAATTAGCGGAAGATCAAACATTCTGCATCGAGCAGGAGCGCAGCGGAGGTCCACCATCCAGAGCAAAGGCTGCGCTCTGAAGAGAGGTTCTGAGAGTCCGTTACGCTCAGCGTCCAGCAATCCCACCGCTCGAAAAAAACCACCCCAGCTCGGAACCCGCCGCGCAAACGCAGTGAGGCAAAGAGAGAAAACGCGCCAGAGGCCGGTGTGAGCACGCGCGTGGCGCGGGGGCGTGGCGGCTATGCAGGATCCTATTGGGGTTGGTGTGGTCTGTGGGAGTCGCGATTTTGAATTCAGCTTCGTTCGCTCTGCTGCCTCACCAGTCTTCTCTCATGTAAACCCGTTCTTCCGGAAAACAAGGTGAGCAGGGTGCGGTGTGGTAACAAAGTTTAGGACGAGGAGAAACGAAGTGAGAAAGGGCAAACTCCGGGGTGAGCCTAAACCGGAGGTCTGCTAGGCGGGATTGGGGGGCGGGGAGGGCAGTCCAGAGCGGGAAAAATTTTCCGGATATTTAGGGGCGGGGCTAAGGTGTGATGGACAGGCGGTAAACCAATGCGAAGGGGAATGGGAGGTGCGTTGAGAGTGGGAGCTGCAGTTGAACTGGAGCAGTGCTTAAGAGTCCCAGTAGCTAACGCGCACCAGGGGGTTCAGTAATCCAAGTGAGGTAAGCGCTTTTCATAAAATATCTTGTTTAGTGGTATCTGCAACCTTGTGAGTATGCGCTTTGACCTCTCTTTTACACATGAGGAGACTGAGGGTTAGGGGTGTTAACTGAGGCACAAATACGGCTGGAATCCCAAATTTGGCAGTGTGACCCCAGAGCTCACACTGTTAATGGCTCTTCCCTAGTGTCTACCCTTCAGAAAATCAAGGTGGAGTGAGGTCCAAGTCGAGAAGATTCGGATGAGTGGAACTGACCACATTGTTGGAGGACGTGCCGTGAAAAGTAGCGGGTTTTTCCTACACAGTGTGAGAGCTCTGAGGATGGATGGGGCTGGCGGTGGACAGAGCAGGCTTGTCGGGGCTGGGCCATGCACCCAGCTGTGGCAGTATTGCGGCTCTGCATACTGTGGCTTTGGATTCACAGTAGGTGTAGGAGACGTTTTGTTTTGAGGCGGCGTTGTCTCCCCAGGTGTGTGAAGTTAAAGCGTTTTAGGAGCTTAGAAGCCAGGTAGTGCATGGAACATACTTGTTTCTGCCTTCTGTGATTTCTATAAGATAACACCACCATATGCAGCGTAGCTTAAAGCGCAGAATTTTTTTCTTACAGTTTTAGAGGCTGGGAAGTCCAAGACCAAGGTCCCAGCCTATGCAGTCAGCAGCGAGAACCCCCTTCCTCTCTCGCAGAAGGACTCCTTCTCGTCTGCACAGGGCTAGTGAAGAGAGCTCTCGCTCTTCCTCCTGTAAGGATTAGGACCTCACTATTCATGACTTAATTTTTTATTTTTTAATATATTTTATTAATTATGCCATTACAGTTCTATTTCCCCCTTCATTCCCCTCCACCCTGCACAGCCCCTCCCCCACTGTTACCCCCCTTTAGTTTATGACCACATGCTTCAAGTTCTTTAGATTCTATATTTCCCATACTATTCTTGCCCTCCCCCTATCTATTTTCTACCTACCGTCTATGCTACTTATTCTCTGTACCTTCTCCCCCCTTCCCCTCCTCCCACTCCCCTGTTGCTAACCCTCCATGTGATGTTCATTTCTATGTTTCCACTCCTGATCTAGCTGTCCTCTTAGTTTGCTTTTGTTTTAGGTGTGGTTGTTAATAACTGTGAGTTTGCTGTCCTTTCACTATTTCTATTTTTTATCTTCTTTTTCTTAGATAAGTCTCTTTAACATTTCATATAGTAAAGGCTTGGTGATGATGAATTCCTTGAACTTGACCTTATCTGAGAAGTGCTTTATCTGCCCTTCCATTCTAAATGAAAGCTTTGCTGCATAGATCTATCTTGGATGTAGGTCTTTGGATTTTATGACTTGGAATACTTCTTTCCAGCCCCTTCTTGCCTGTAAGGTCTCTTTTGAGAAATCATCTGACAATCTGATGGGAACTCCTTTGTAGGTGACTGTCCCCTTATCTCTTGCTGCTTCTAGGATTCTCTCCTTCATTTTAATCTTGGCTAATGTAATGATGATGTGCCTTGGCATGTTCCTTCCTGGGTCCAACTTCTTTGGGACTCTCTGAGCTTCCTGGATTTCCTGGAAGTCTATTTTCTTTGCCAAATTGGAGAAGTTCTCCTTTATTATTTGTTCAAATAAGTTTTCCACTCGTGGCTGTTCCTCTTCCCCTTCTGGTACCCATATAATTCGGATGTTGGAACATTTAAAGATGTCCTGAAGGTTCCTAAGTCTCTCTTCATTTTTTTTTGAATTCTTGTTTCTTCACTCTTTTCTGTTTGGTCATTTCTTTCCTCTTTCTGGTCCACTCCTTTGATTTGAGTCCCAGTTTCCTTTCCATTACTATTGGTTTCCTGTGCATTTCCCTTCATTTCAATTAGTTTAGCCTTCATATGTTCCTCTAATTTGTGACTAAAATCCACCAGTTCTGTGAGCATCCTGATCACCAGTGTTTTGAACTGTGCATCTGAAAGTTTGGCTATTTCTTGTTCGCTTAGATTTATCAGCTGTGGGGCTCTGAGTTGTTCTTGAGCCATGTTTTGATCTGTTCCTGCCTGTTATGCATCTCAGTTTCCTTTTCCATTTGATGTTAATTATCTCCTAAAAGTCTGGAGTCTCTTGTTGGGGGTTGAGGCTTTAACACATGACTCTGTGGCAGTTCAGTCTGTAAGAATAGTTTATACCTAAGTAAATAAGGAATGGTAATTGAGGGTTGAAGAACATGAACACTTTAGGACAGTATGTACCTGAGGTTCTTTCACAGTTAATGAGTGTAAAGTTTTCTGTGCTGGTATGTGCTTTAGCACTGGTGAGGCATTCTAGGAAGAACTTGTGTGGGAGGTCACGATTGAGCTCCCTACAACCAACCTAAAGAGGTCAGAAAAAGCAACACCAATCAACCTTAAAAGGTGTACTTAGTGTATCCACTATTCATGGATTTATCTTAACCCTTATTTTTAAATCCTCGCCCGAGGGTATGTTTATTGATTTTAGGGAGAGAAGAAGGGAGAGAGAAGCATTGATTGGTTGCCTCCCATAGGTGACCAGACCAGGCATCAATCCTGCAACCTAGGTATGTACCCTGACCGGGAATCAAACCTCAACCTTTTGGTGCGGGGGACAAAGCTCCGACCAACTGCGCCACCTGGCAGGGGCTAAACTTTTCTTTAACCTCTCCCTTAGCTTTCTGCTGCTTCTGGAATAATGAGATCCATAATTACCACTGACAGTGAATGAAATAATAATAACTGTCTTTCTGTATTGTTTTCTGTTGTCACTCTAAAGTTGTTACTCTACCAAGTCTCTTCACCCTACCTATCCTGGTGAGAAGGGAGAGTGAAGTGATACAAAGTCAGGGCCGGGACGGTCTGGCAGATGTGCGTTCAAAGCTCAGATTCAGGCAGTTTCTCATTGACTGAGGGCAAATCACTTAACATTTCTGAGTGTCAGTTTCTTCATCTGTCAAATGGAGCTAATAAAAATATTGGCCACACAGGGTTGTTGTGAGGTTAAATGAAGACAGTTGGAAACTTAAAGAACTGTCCTGTGGACTAGATATTTAAGTCACGGGGTAGCTCCACCCTTACCTCTGAAGAACAGAAACCTCCACCTACAGCCCCCATGTCAAACTGGCTTTTTATTTATACATCAGATTTTTATTGAATGTTTTCTAGTTGCCAAAGCACCTGTCTCTGAGTGCTAAGGGTAGGGAAAAACAAGATAGACAAGGTCCCTTCTTATATGCTGCTTACAAGGTCTGTCCAGAAGGTACCAAGCCATGTATTATGAAAACTAGAGGCACTTATCGAAGAAGATACAAGGAACATTGTACATAGGACAATGGCACCTCAGTCCCCTTCAGAGGAGGCACCTTGGGACCTCACACAGTTCTCCCAGTTGCCATCAGCAGCCCTAACATATTTTTCGGTATCTCATCAACAGTCTGAAACCTCTTCCATTTCCAAGGTGATTTTAGTTTTGGGAATAGCCACAAGTTGCAGGGCACCAAATGTGGGCTGTGGGGGGCTGAATCAGCTGGGTGATGTGATGTGTTGCCAAAAAAAAACTGTATAAGACACAATTCATCAGAAGGAGTGTTGTCCTGATAAGGCTGCCAATCACCAGTTGGCCATAGCTGTGGCCTTCTGAATCATCTGGATAGTTTTTGCTGAGGAATGTTCAAGCTTAGCACAGAATTTGATGCAGATTCATTGTTCTACTTGCTCAGTCATTTTGCAACAGCCACACAATATACAGTCACTCAATGGCATCTACCAACCCCATGACTAGTAAAGTAAAATCATCGTTCACACATGTGCATTCCAGTCCACTTGCCTTCGCTGCCAGGTTACATCAATTTCATGCAAACAATTCCCATTATGTTAACAGTGGGTGGAGTTTTTCCAGATGGACCTTATATATTCTAGTGGGAAGGACTAAATAAAATAGTGGACTGGCCAAGAAATTCATTTGTTTTTTTCTGTAAGATGGCTCTAGTCATGCTCAGTTGTCTTTAACTACATTCAAGACAACTTTGTTAGATTTTTTTGTGACAGCTTTTACATTGATGTGCCTTAAAAAAAGCATATCAAAATTGGTGAATTTTTGTGTTGGCATTTTAATATTAAGAGCATTTTCAGCATATTATGCTTCATTATGTCAAGAAAGGTAAAAACACAACTGAAGCACAACAAAGATTGGCGTAGTGTATGGAAAAGATACTGTGACTGGTCAAATATGTCACAAGTGGTGTGTGAAGTTTGGTGCTGGAGATTTCTCAGGACAATGTTCCAGGATCAGTTAGACCAGTCGAAGTTGATAGCAATCAAAACGAGGTATTAATTGAGAACAATCAACAATACACAAGCAGGAGAGAGCCAGGCCAACATACTCAAAATACCCAAATCAATAAATTTATTGGTGAAAATGAAATTTGTGTCTTTATTTTATGAGGAAAAAAACGACATGGACTTTTTGGCCAACCCAGTTAGCTGCTAGTGCTAAGAGCTATGAAGAAATTAAACATAGGGTATTGAAATAAGAGTGATTTACAGTAGAGCAGTGTGTGTGTGTGTGTGTGTGTGTGTGTGTGCGCGCGCGCGCGCACGCTCGCATGCATGCACGCACGAATGCGCACATGGCTGTATTTGGAGAGAGGGTATTTGACCACTAGGATGGTGAAGCAGAGGGAGAGGCTTCTCTGAAGAGCTGAGTGGCCCTAACTCTTGAGGACTCATCCTTCCCTGGTGTGGGGGGCTAGGGTGACAGTGGGGAGGGCGGCAAGTGCAAGGCCCAGGAGGATCAGGACCGCCTCGTGCTTTACCCTTGTGTGGGTTGACCAGGGATCTGTCTTAAAAGGTCAGGAGGTACTGATCAGATATTTCTCTTGGGGTTTAAAACTGAGAAACATGAAAAGCATTTTGTGGTAGTGGGAGCTGAAGCTAAAAGGTACAGACAGCTGAACCTACAGACATGGTACAGACCATGTTCAGGCTGAAGTTCTGAATGAGCAGAAGCTGTGAGTAAGCAGAGGAGGTCAGTCAGTGGCTCCATCTGGCATGTGAGTGAGCCAGAGAATGAAAATCCATGGATTTACTGGTTGGTGAGGTTCTGGGAGCTGTTTTGAGATTTGAGTGTGTCAGTAGTTCTAGTGTGCCAGAACTCCCACCCTGGTGGTAGCTTCCATTGTTTTTTCCAGATGGTCTCAATTCTCAATAGGTATCTTTTCAATAAATCTCCCTTTTATGTCTGTTGGTTATCTCCTGCAGCCTGTTAAATTTGACTAAAACAATCCTCTGGACCTCGGTTTGGATCCCTGGTTTTCCTCTAACTAGCTGAGACTTTGAACAATTATTCCATTTCTGTAAGTATCCAGATGCAACAACTGTATCCTTAAGTGTTTTTCAGATTAAATGAGATAATAGAAGCAAAAGGGCCTGTGGCATGCTTAGCACACAGGTGTTCAAAATTTGTTACACGCCTTTCTCTATCCCTTCACGTGGTAATGGTTATTTGATTACATGCCTCCCTCTCGTTATTGAATTGTCCATGTTTTTTAAAGTCACTGTTCTTGTAGTTCATCCTCCCACCTCTACAGTCATTTGAACTGCCCTTAAACTGTAACTGGAAGAACATTATAGTAACTGCCTTTCAAAACCTCATGTTGAACAGACACTGCTGTTGGTTTTATTGAGGCTAGTTAGGTAACAAAGATGCAAATGGTTTTAGGGTTATTAATGTTTGTACTTGTGAAAGATGGGCCTGCTAAAGAGCTTGGAGCAGTGACTTTCATAGAGAGAGTGTGGGACCAGGATGGAAGAGTCAGTCCTCCAAATGGTGACTAAGGGAAGGAAGTTCCTTAGATGCAAATGCTATCTCAGAGAAATCAGGTTCAGAGAGGACAAAAAGATGGCATAGACATGGAGCGGAAGAGTTTGCCTTAGACCTTGGCCTGGCAGGGGAAAGAGATGCCGTGGTCTCCCTTTGTGGAGCTCTTCCAGCTGGGCGCAGTCCTTGTGAAGAGCGCTCTGCCAGTCCGGAGCCAGACAGAAAGCTGTGGTTCTTAAGGCTCAACCATTTTGTGGAGGCAGCTCTGGTTGGTACTGGAAATGGAGGAGGGTAGGGTGAACTCAAGCAATTTGAAGATAATCTGTAAAATAGGGATATGTATGTTAATCTGCACCACATAAGAAAAGCTGTAAGGTACTTGTAATTTTCTGCCAGTGTGCCATGATTTTACTTAGAGATCTTTGCAACAGGATAAAGTGAAGCAAATAAATATGACATGCAAATGCTGCCCTGAGGACAACGGAGAGAAGAAAAACTAAAGACGTGATTATAGGCAACACCTCTGATCCCAGAGGAAATCTCCAAGGCTTTCCTAGGGGGCACTACAAGGCTATCCTAGCAGCAAAAGCATCCCAGGAGAAATGACAAGGAGTTCCCGTACAGGGGCTTTCCTAGGCTTCCTTCTTCTAGAGCCACTTTTGATGTCACTAGATAGATTCCCCATGGCTTGATACGGCTACATGGGGACATGCACATGATGGAGAGAGCATGGTGTGTGTTTGCAAAAAAAAATGTACAACCTAAGGAGAAGTTCCATAACTGGTCCTGCGACTGTTCTCAGGAATTGTTCTAGTTTTTAAACCAGTTTTTTCTGGCTCATCAGAGAACCACAAGGTGTTTTGTTTTTTTGGTTTTTTTGTTTTTTCCTCTTAGGATCATGGCTGATAAAACCCAGGAGGTTGGTGGCATCCATTTCCCTTTTCCTTTCACACCCTATTCCATCCAGAAAGACTTCATGGCAGAGCTTTACCAGGTGTTGGAGGCTGGCAAGATTGGGATATTTGAGAGTCCAACCGGCACTGTAAGTATGAATAGTGGGGCCCAAGAGGGCTCTTGGGAGTCCTTGATTACAATTAGTCAGAGGCTTATTTACCCAAGCAGAGATTTTCATGGTTTGAAGTTGGGCAAAGTAGTTCTTTCAGTTTATTTTTCTGAGCAATGCTCACTCCCCTCTATTAAATCATTAAACACACCCCAGGGTCCACGGAAAATTAGCCTGAAGGTGAATGAGAATCTGAATGGTTACGGAAGCACAGCACCGAACCTTTCTGGATTTCTCTGGGCACACAACTGCTTTGATGTTGAGCAACATAGAAATTACTTTGGTTTATTCACATACTGAATACATTGGTTTAATCTCCAGGAACTAGGTTATTGAGTGCTTCAAGGGCCCTTAAGTTTTGCTTCCTGGCCTGCAATGAGGGATTTATTAGATATTGACTGTTGAGGATTGCTAGGGCTGTGGTGATCCGTTCTTGCTTCTCTCTTGTACTTTATTTATTGTCTTTTATAGCAAGTACTATGTGATAGTAGAATGTATGCGTTGATGTGAGGGTCCCTCAACTAGGCTGTGACCTCCTGGAGGATATGACCCTGTGGTCCTCACTTTTGTATCCCTGTTATCTAGAAGAGCTTGGCCTATTAGGTCCCCAAAAGGCTCTTAGTAGGTGTGTGTTGAATGAATAAAAGAAAGTGACCCATTCCTTTTCTCTCACTTGCTGATGGAAGCATGTCATGTTTCTCGAGATGACATGATCTCCTGAGACAGGAGGAGGGCAGACTGGGGTACTGTACTGTCTCATTTTGTTCTTTCATGTATGTTTAGTAAGCAGGAGAGAACAAGTCTTGCCGATGGATAAAGTGCAGGTCAGGAATGCAATGTGCAGGGGGGGGTTGTTTTTTTAACTAGTATTCCACTAACATTCATACCTTCCATTTAAACCCAGTGCAGTGTGACTTCTACTACCAACCCACCAAAATGTCTTAAGATCAGTAGTGACTTCCTGCTTCATAGATCTGGATATTGAAAGTCCTTATTTTCACTACTCCACGGTGTTTGACTTTGTTGGACTCCTTTGTTGAAAGCCCTGTAAAAATGGTTATCACAGAATACTACATGTTACTTACAAAGTCAAACTTATTGATTTGGTGGGCAGGTGCTTTTAGTTCTTTTGTCTGTGTCTTAGAAAATACACTTGCTTAGCACATTTCAAAATCGTAAGCTGCATGCTGCTATTTCTTTATTTCTTGATTTTAATCATGGGTGCCTTCCTGTTGTGATGGATAAGACGTAGCTTTCTTCCCATTTCTTTTCCCTCTCTGTCCTGATGTAGTAATCTATTTTTAGTCTCTGCTAAGTCAGTATACTCTGATCATTTTTTTCCTTGAATAATTTTGTTTTTCTAGAGTTAATAACTGCCTTTTAAAAGTTTTTTTAAAAATATGCTTATGCCAATTGCTCACACATTATCCAGTGTTCTCAATAGAATACAGGTTTCCAGGCCATAGAAAGTTCAGCACCCATGGATTCAATCAACCTCAGATCAAAAATATTGGGCTGGGGGGAGCTACCTTGTTGCTGACTTGTACTATGTAGTTAGGCCTACAGTGGTTGCTGAACATGTACAGACTTCAGTATAGCAATTACTTACATAACATTTGCCTCATGTTGTCTATTATAAATCTAGCCTCTTGGTCGCAGGTGCCTCCTATCGCCAGAGTCTGGAGAGAGCTGTGAGGAAGGGGAGCTCTCAGCCATGTGCACCACCCCTACCACCACACCCCCACCTTCTTGGTGCTGGCACGTCTGGGGGAACTTGGCCTTTGGTGCTGAAGCAGTGGGGTGTTCCCTGTGGCCAGACTAGTTCCAGCATGTGCGCCCAGCTGCAGCCCGAGCTGGACAAATCTGGTTCAATGTCCAGCCACCTTTGGCTGGCATCTGCCATTGCCCCAGGCAACCTCCACCCACCAGGCCCCAGAGCCAGGCCCCTCCATCTGGGTTTCCTCCCTCACCCCCCCAACCACGCTGATGCCTCCTCATCTGCCCCCCCATATACCCTCGCAGCCCCTCGCCCTCCAGGCCCTGCAGGTGTGGGGAATTGCCCACAGAGGCACGAGTGGCATTGTGAGCTGGCAGCGCAGACAGCAGGGTGGTGGCGGTAGGTTGTGTGCCCCTCCACCCAACCATTTGCTCTCTCCCCCCTTTCTAGGTATCTTGCAGGTCCCATGGCAGAGGTTTAAAGACACTTTGGGGGTGGCCTGTCTGCCCTTGAGGACTTCAGGAGGGCCAGGCCTGGCCTTCTCTCCCTTCCCCCTGGACTCTGCCTCCCCACCTTGAGGTGGGGGAAGCTGGGAAGAAAACAAATCATCTAGACACGATTTAAAGTGTACTGGACGATGCGCACAGGTTATGTGCAAATACTAAGTCATTTTATAGCTAGGACATGAGCATTGACAGAGTTTTATATCTGTGGGGATCCTGGAAGTAGTGGCCTGTGGATACTGAGGAACAACTGCACAGCATTCCGAAGAAACCTTTCATAAGCCGAAATGGCATAAAGTGAGGAGAATCTTCCACTTTCCAAAAATGTGCTTTAAGCAGATTTGTGTTGTGCCATTTTGCTTTTAGCAAGGACCCAAGTTTGCCTAATGAAGTGGGGGATACCTGTATTCCATACCTAGAATTACCATCTCAGTCTGCTAGAGCTGCCACAGCACAGTCCCGTAGATTGGGTGGCTTGAATGACAGGAATTGATTTTCTCATGGTTCTGGGGACTGCAACATTCAAGATTCAGGTTGCATCAGGCTTTGGTTTCTGGAGAGGACCCCTTCCTGGCTTTCAGACTGCCCCTTGCTAGCTCATTTGGCACAGAGAGAGGGATCTTTGGTGTCTCCTCCCTTTCTATAAGGACACCAGTGGTTCTATCTGATCAGGGTTCTACTTTTACGACCTCATTTAACTGTAGTCACCTCCTTAAAGGCTGCTTTTCCAATATGGCCATAAGGGGGTTAGGGCTCCAACATGAACTGGGGGTGGGGGTGGGGGTGCACATTGAGTCCATAGCAGTAATCAATTTCATTTTACTCTGGAGACTTCTGTGAAATGCTCCATCCATTTGTTCTAGTTTGAATTAGTTGCTCGTTAGACCTACTTCACAGCTATTGCTTTATTGAAAAAACATCAATTTTATTGAGAGTAATTGACATAAAAAATGTACACCCTTTTAATTAAAGTGTACAATATTAGTGACTTTTCTGGTTTTGTAATTTTTTAAAAAATGTTTTTTATTCATTTCTGAGAGTGAGAGGAAGGGGGGGGGATATCCACTTGCTGTTCCACTTAGTTTATGCACTCACTGGTTGCTTTCTGTATGTGCCCTGGCCAGGCAAGGAACCTTACAACCTCAGGGTATCGGCACGACCCTCTAACCAACTGAGCTACCCTGCCAGGGCCTCAGTGAGTCCTGATAGATGTGAAAACCCATGTCGTCACTACCACCACCACAAATAAGACGCAGAACATTTCCCTCACCCTCGAAAGTTTACCTCTTGGAAGTTGCTCCCTGCTGCTGCTTCTCCATTCCCACCTCACCCTGGCCCCAAGCAGTCACTGGTCCACTTTCTGTTTCCACAGATTAATTTTACCTTTCCACCTTTTCCTAAAAATGGAATCACATTGTGCTCTTTTGTGTCTTTTGGTTTCTTTTACACAGAACAATATTTTTAAGATTTATCCGTGTTGTTATGTGTGTCTGTTTTCTGTGTTGGATTCTCGGTTTCTTCAGTTCTACATCTTGGTTTTCTTCCTTGTTTTGACAGAGAATCTTCCTGACAAGGCTGTATAGGAGGTAAATGTTGAAGACTTGGCTGTTCTGAAAATGTATTAATTCTGCTTGGTTGGTATTAGTAGTTTGGCTGGGTACATAAGTCTAGTTTGAAGGTAATTCTCCCTCCAAATTGCTCCTTCTCTGTGCTAGTTTCCATGGTGGCTGTTGAGAAGTTCAGTGGCATCGTGCACTCAGTCCTTGGTGACATGACCCCACCTTGCCCTCCAAAGTTTTCAGGATCTTCCCTTTCTCCTTGGTGCTCCGAGATCGCAGGTCAGGGGGCCTGCTGTGTTCTGTGGAATTCCTTGCGTGGGCTGCTTGGTGAGCACTTTCCATCTGGGGGCTTTGCCCCGTCATTCCTGAAACATTTTCTTATGTTTGTTAATAATCTTCCTGATGCCCCCCTTCACTGGTTTTGGACCTCCCGCTTCCCCTGTAATTGTTTTCTTCTAATTGCCTGTCTCTTAGGGCAGCATGATTTGTTTTTGTTTTGTTTTTGCCTCAGTTCCACTTCATCGAGACTTTTTTACCTTTATTGCCAAGTCTTTGTTTAGTTTATTTTGGCTGCCATCTCTGAAATATTCAAGAAGTTGTTCTGTAACTTCTTTAAAAGTAGCATCCTGTTCTTGTTTCATGGAAATACTGTCTTTCTGAAGACATCACTTAGGGTAGTTTTGAGGTTTTCTTCCATTGCATCGTCTTGTCCCGTCCCTCCCACCCCCACCCCAGTTTTGGGTTATGTGTTGTGTTCTGAGGCTTTCCTCAGATGTCTGGCAGTCCATGGCTGTCTTCTGTTGGTGTCCAAGAAAAAGGTGCCGAAGGATGAGGGAAAGGTCTGTGGTGCAGGCTCACTGTGGACCCATAAACTGAGTCTCTCTGTTGGGGCTTCCAGTGTCAGTATTTGTGGAATTCCCTAGAGCCATCCAGCCGTTTTTCCAGAGAAGCCTCTCCTCTGAATTTTTGCCCCGAGGCTCTGAGCCTGACAACCAATATTCTTGAGCGTGTCCTGGAGAAATGGCTTCAGGTACACTGTCTTCTCTGCCATGCTTCCCTCCATCTGCTGTCTCCAGGGCCATCCTGGCTCAGCTGCACCAGAGAAAAAAAGTCCTGTTTTCTATGAGGAGTGGGGACGGACTACAGTTGGGGGTGTAATTTTTTTGTTAAATTAAAAAGCAATTTTTAATTATTTATGGT